TAACAGTTTGAATGTAGGCCCCTCTTGATCTTGAGGCCCTAGGCTGAAGCCTAGTTAGCCTATAGGGAAATCCGGCGCTGGTTGCAGAAGATGATGGAATTGGTTGAAATGACAAAACTGACTTCTTTGATTAAAGAAAAGAACAAAAGTGCTTTTTTTTTTTACACATAGAGGCTGCTTCTGAACTTGAAGTGGAAAAGAATAAAAGTGATTTGGGGGTTTTACCGATTAGACTGATACGGTTTTTACAGAAATGGCTCATTCGTATTATTAAGAAAGAGCAAAATGTCGTGATTTGATGTTAATGCCATATTTTACAGAAAGAGTTGGAAGTCAAATACTTCTTTTTCTTTTCTTTGTCTTCTCTTTCCTCACTTCTCTTCCCCCTCCCTCCCCCTGCTTCTCTATTTCCTTTTGTATTTTGTGTTTTATAATACTTTACAACTCAATAAAAATTGAAAAAGAAAAACTTGGCAAGGGTAAGAGAGACGGACTTCAACTCCCAAAATTCCCCAGCCAGCCATAAAGTCCGCTTGCCGAATTTGAAAAACGCTGAACTATAGGAACTGTGCGATCGTTCGTAATGCTTGTGCCACGCTAGGCGTCCTCCAAGGCACCCCCTGGGAATTTTTTTTTAAAATGTGTTTTTAATTGGTTTACTTGAGTCCCTTGTGAGGGACTGGTGGCTGTAGAAATGGAATAAATAAATCAATAGATAACATCCTGGGAATTATAGTGCAAACAGGGGTTCCCAGGGTCAGGGTGAGGAAAGGAGGATTTTGTATTTTTAAAAATAAAAAATAAAAACAAACTATAAATAATTATCTGGACCTAAATTCTTTAAAAACAAACCTTAACTCTTCGGTGAACTTTCCAGTTATGAAGAATAGGGTCTTATGCCAGCCATGGGGGGAATTACCCTGACATTTCCAGATGATGTAAATTTTAGACTTGAAACCAAGTTATTTGAGCCAGCTCTCTATCTTTAAAATCAGAGAGTGTCCGTGATTTGATTCATTGACTTATCCATTCTGTGGCACTGATGATGTTGCTCAGTGGGGTAATGAAATGTCGGCAAGTAAAAATGTCAGAATCTTCCTCCTCCTCCTCCTCCTCTTCCTCCTCCTCCTCCTC